TATAAAGTCTGGTCCTGCTCCCAAAAGAGAAGACATTTTCCCAGTGAGTCCTCACTTGTGAGAGCCAATGACACTATAAGGGTAACTACCCCACGAGGATCTACAGGGAGACTGTATTACAGTTGATTATGTTGGCATATAATTCAAGGACTACATTTTTCATGATGATCTACATTCGCCACCAGAGTGTTGATGCACCCTGTGGGACAAAGTAGTAGGAAAGGATATTGTTACAACCCACACCATGCCTCTTCTGTGGCCTGCAAACTTCAGTCCCCTGGGAGTGCTGTGCTCCCAGCACCTTCCAAGATTCAGAAAAACAGGGGGGAACTACTGGAAAGCTTGGTTAGGTGTTACAGTGTAAATGTCCTTAGGGTCTGTCATGGGAAAAGTACATTGTGCTCATCTACAGTTTTATATCCAGTAAACTTTATGGGACATGTGGCTTGAAAGCCACAAAGCAGATCAGCAGCTTGGCACCCTTGTGTTTACAGCAGAAGAATGTACCTTGAAGCAGTCGGCGTCTTATATGGGAAAAAACTTGTATAATTTCTTGTTCCCACTGCATTTAAAGTGAGAAAAGAGGAACGTTACCCCAGTCAGTGAAACAGGAATGGGTCAGCCCATTGGCAAGCCAAGCATTTGATAAGAAATGCATTCTCAAACACAGTGGCTTTCACTTCTCTAAAAGTGAGAATCAAACCCCATGAGTAACAACCCTTGCAGTGCTTTTACAATTGTTTACTAACTGCAATTTTTAGATATGAGAGACTGATTGCTGCTGACCTAAGCTACATCCAAATAGCTCACGGAATGGAACCAAACATAAATCCATTAAATGGCACTGTTCTGAATTAATCTTCCTTTGCCACAAGTTGGAAGCTGTGGATCTTGTTGCCTGCCCTTAACTTTGTTTCCAGACTCTCACAGCACATGCAGCCTCTGTTTCAGTGGCCATTCCACAGGGGAATTAAGATGCTGCCAAATTTTTTATCTTATCAACTGTTTTACAAACAGATTTACTTTGCTGAAGACATTTAAGTCACACCTATGCCTACTACATTGCCTATTATAATGCCTATTACATTGATAGTGCTTTAGTATTTCAACCAGTTTCTCCTCCTTTTTACAAGTGAATGGCAGCTACTTTGCAGCAATGAATTTTCAAGACAAACATACAAACACTCCTGAAATTCTTTCAGAATATGATTTTAATCATTAAGATGTAGTTGTCTAGAAATGTTAGGATACCCTAAATGCCTGATCTCCTTCACAATAACTCTGTTTCAGAGACCCTAGGATATGCTAGAATTTTAGTAGAGAAAAAGAAAAAAAAACCAAGGAAGGTGCAGTAATAAAGCATAAAGGCATAATAAAGAAACCGGGCAAGGTAAGCATACACACACATTAGCATTATGTATTACAAAGTTTTATATAGAATGAAAACCTTTACTTTTTTTTGGTATACATGCAGTAGTATCAACTTGGTCTGACAGGAGAGTGTTACAGAAGATAAGAATCAAACAGCACTAGGAAATTGAACACCCGTAGGTGCACTTTGTACACCTATAAGTGTACTGTATCACCCTAACATTACACAGTATTTCTCTGTGCTACATTCCTCCACAGAAACTGAGCAAGCTGTCTAATACGGCAGAGCTTTCTTTCATCTCCAAGTTGAACTGTATGCTAAGAACTCCAGAGGAAGGCAAATACTGCAACAAAGGGATAGTGTAAGCTACTGCATACACTTCTGTTGTAATCAATACATAGCTAGCTTCATCTCCTTCCCAGCATTAAACAATATGCCTTGCACTTCCCTCCCCTGCTAAGTGGGCAAAGTGACAAACCTTTAAATAATGTGGCATATTATGGATCATATTTTAAAGGGACTTTGTTCCATCAACTATTGCAAGCCTGCATATAAAATATCACACCTACAAAGCACAAGCAAACACACGACCTGACTGAAGAGTTGTTTTCTTTTCATACTCCCAGAAACCCCTTGTACACTCTGAACAAACAGGGAGGCAACAAAGTCACAATTCCAGAGTTAGTTTCTGAAGAAAATTACTCCTTCAAATTGCTTTCGATATGAAGAGTAGAAACTGCAGATAGGGCGGATACAGAGTGTAACCCGGTACGCAAATATCCTGACACAGGAGGATGTTATCAACAAGCCATTCAGCTCTGCACTGAAGGGTACATGATCCTCTGGTGAAATATTTATTCAGGATATCAGGTAATCTCAGGATACAGGTAACAGGGATGGACAAGGTGATGTCTCAAGATACTTTCTAAATCTGTTTTCTGCGATTCTACACCCTACCTACCCAGGACAGGCAGCACACATTCACCCATCACCAATCATTCACCAGTGTTTTAAAAATGCACTTTCCAGACATTGGACTCACTTGTTTTTTTGTTACTCTAGCTTGTGGAGCTATCAAACTCGGGCAAGGCAGCAGGATCAGAAAACAGAGAAGCCAGACCTAGCAAATGGGAAGTGTGCAAATGCAAATGACATGATCCTTCACTTCAGCTTCCCCCCAGCTCTGTTCTCTGACATACATACATATAATGTGGTTTTGAAATTAAGGTGCAGGATTGGAATTCAACTTTATGGCAGAAAATAGAAGACAACTTCCACCACACAAAGCTTTTAATCTTTTCCTTCCAAGATTCCCATCTTTTATTTACTTCCTCTTCCTTACCTATCAGCTCTTTGAGATAGAAACTGTAGCTTATCACTCATTTATATAGTGCCTCACAAGATAGGGCTTCCACGCCAGCTCAGGTATCTGAACATTTGCTCATGTGAAACAAAGTAATAGCTGGCAAGGTGTGAGGAGTTAATGGAGAGAGTATCACAGGAGAACTACCTTGAATTACCAGAGAAAGCTAATGCTGGGCACAAATGATATTCTGCTGCAAAACTATTGTCATTTGCGCACCACAAGGGAATACCTAAACTTCTTCTGACAACATAACATACAGCCTTTCATTGAGCCTAACCCAGCACTGATGCTTTCATCCCATGAATAACAACTATTGGGTAACTTCAAAAACAAATATTTGCTTACAAGCTCTAACAAGTAAGTGTCCAAAATAATAAAAATTACTGTTGCAACTTGCACCTTTTTTCTCAGCCTTTAAGGGCAGGCTAAAGGAACTACATATTGCTTCTGAAAGGTGTTTCCTCCAGGGCAAAGCTGAGGATCTCTGGAAGGGAAACACAAGGGAAGTTATTGTGCGCTTAGCTGCAGGGTACTTACTGCTGAGGATTTAAAGAGTAAAAAAAAAAGAATGAGTCCTGCACTCTGCATTCAACTTTGGCAATCCTGCAGAACTTATTTCAAATGAATAAGGCTCCGAGACATTTGATTTGCCAAGTTATATTACCCAAAATACTAATACTATGCATTGCAACGTATGCACTTACTTTCTGTGCACAATGATCAGACCAGCTCTTTCCAACCAAAATAAAGCCATTTTGAGCTTGACCCCAGCATAAATGTTAGAGCAGCATCAAATATAGCACTGTACACCTATAACCCATGATCACCTCTCTCTACAAAAGACAAGCAAAAAGACCAGGACAGGGACTGAAGGTTGACATATAGATTACATGCTGAAAACAAAGTATGGTGAAGACCAACAACAATGTAGAAAACCTGCACCAGCACTCTTCAGGTGAGACACAATCTGTCATTTTAATTAGGTATGTTAGTAATCATCATTTTAGGAACACTTAAACATTGGACAGAGCCTTGGGTGACATGGTTTAGTGTGAGGTGTCCCTGCCCATGGCAGGGGGGTTGGAACTTGATGATCTTATGGTCCTTTCCAACCCTAACTATTCTATGATTCTATGGTAACTTGAATTCAAACTTTTCCTCACTTCAAGTGACAACGACTCACTACTCCTTGATGGTTTTAGATGCATGATCTCTCAGGAAAAAGTACAGGCAAATGAATTTATAAACCTGAAGGTTACCACAGGTGGACTTTCTCAAAACAAACACTGTAAAGGTGTGGACCATTAACTGAAACTATTCTGACTCCAGAAGGAAGCTTGGCCAACAACGTGGGGAAGAGGAGGTGGTATTTATGTGAAACCAGGTGCAATTATTAATTGTCCCTCTAGCAAGTTTATTGAATTGGTACTTAAATTACTTATCCTTTAAGAGAAGCATTACTTGAGGGAGGGAAAAAAGCCCTAAATCCCAGTTTTTCGCTTTGTGTAACTCCGAATAGGTCCAAGAGGCAGCACTCCCGCACACCCCCCCCCTTAGCCGCGTTGGCACTGCCAGGTCCCAACTCCGGCGCTCCTCGCACCTCACGTCTGACCCCGTAACACCGCACCAGCAAAGCGGTTTATCACCGCCGGCACCGCGACGAAGCCAACCCGCTCCTGCACAAAAGGCAGCTGCATACACTTGGAGGGGAGGGAGGCGAGAAAGGAACCCTCTCAAGCGGCTGCAGACACACACACAGACACACCACAGAAGGACTTTGACCCAAGGGGCTCTTTGTGCCGGGGCACCGCTCCCCACACGAACTCCCCCGGCTCTCACTCGCGCTTCCCAAGTTTCGCGGCGGGCAGCGCTCAGGTGCGGCCGCTCCGCTCCGCCCCTCACGGAGGCGTCCCCTCAGGGAGGCCGGGGACCAGCGGCCGCTTGCCTGCTCCGGCTCCGCTTCCCCCGCCGATACCACCTCAGCGCAGCGCGGCCCGGCCCGCCCGCCAGCGGTAACGTGCGGTGCCGCCGCCCCGAACGCGCCCCTTCACCCTGCTCAGCGGCGGCTCCCTCACCCGGTGCCCCCCGCCCGGCCACGGCCGCCTCCCGCTCCCTCCCTCCACCGACCTGAGGACGGCCCCGCTCCCGGGGCGGCTCGGCCCCTCGCAGCGGCACCCGCGGCCCCGCCCCGCAGACGCGCACGCGCGCACGCGCACGGCCTTTACACTCCCCCCCCTCCCTCCTCACACCGCCCTCTCCGTGCGGGCGGGGCTGAGCCCTCCCGCGCCTCGGCCCGGATCATGGCGGCGATGGGGATGGGCCCTGGAGCAACGGGACGGGGTTAATCCCGCACCCCCGGTTCACGTTTCCCGTGGGGCCGTCCTGTGCCCGCAATAGGCCCCGCCAGCCGCCTTCCTCCCATCGGGTGGGGTTTTTACCTCAGAAAGAAGGCCCCCGCCGCACTACCGCCCGCTGAGGTGTTGGGGGGTCCGTGAGGGCGAACGCTGCAGTTCACCACCAAAACCAGGCCTTTGGCACCGAAAGAAAGTTTAGAAAAGGTGGGAGACAAATTATTGCCTTTTTCTTCAATTAAAAATCGTTTAATTAAAAATGATTTCTTCAATTAAAAATCATAGTGCCCAAAATGCCCATGGCAGGGGGATTGGAATTAGATGATTTTAAGGTCCTTTCCAATCCTATTCTATGAAATAGAAGCATATTCTTGACTTTCCGCATGCAACCAGTTTGAGGATTTGCCCTCTAAAGAAATGAAAAAAGTTGTATTTTTGGTGTGCAGCAATAGTTGGCTGCTCCTTTAGACAACAGCTTTTTGATTTCAGTATCTGAAGGGGGCTACAGTGATGCTGGCGAGGGACTCGGCATCAGGGACTGCAGCGATAGGGTAGGGGTAATGGGTTTAAACTTAAACAGGGGATGTTCAGGTTGGATATAAGGAAGAAGTTCTTTAATGTAAGGGTGGTGAGGCACTGGAATGGGTTGCCCAAAGTAGTTGTGAATGCTCCATCCCTGGCAGTGTTCAAGGCCAGGTTGGGCAGCGCCTTGGATGGCATGGTTCAGTGTGAGGTGTCCCTGCCCACGGCAGGGGGTTGGAACTGGATGATCTTAAGGTCCTTTCCAACCCAAACCATTCTGTGATCCTGTGATTTGCAAAATTACAACGACCAAATGTTTTTCCTTATAAAACACTGTATTTGCTCATCCACTGTTACTCCCCCCCCACATCTAAGCAAGGAAAGCAATAAAAACAAACCCTACAGCAGAAACTTCATCCACAGGATCCAGGGTCCATCCCAAGGCCAGCAATAGGCAGCCTAAGGGAGAAGCACCTTTCCCCCCTCACATTTTTGGGGGTTTATTTGGAAATAAACCCAATCACAAAATAAGCCATTAATTCTGTACATCCTTGCTTGTGTGAGCTGTTTCCATCCTGCAGAGTTAAAGTCAAAATGCTTCTTATTTTTTAAGAAATAATTAACAGGGATAGAGGCACTTCCAGGATCAGAGCCTGGTTTTATCCGGGAGCTTCATAAATAAGGGATTTCTCATAATGCTGGTATGTTGAACCACGTGGGAAATTAAAATGCATTGCTAGCATTTATTTTTAAAAGCATAGTAAAAGGCTTTATTTGAAGCTTTAGGGTGGGTTGTTCGGTTTTTCGTCTCTCCTGAAGAAACAATTATTTCTGGGATCACTGCTGTGTTCCAGCTTTAGCCTCCCATGAACATTCATTTACCTATATTATGTACATGTTATTTTAGCAGATACCTTCACAGTGTTAAATTAGGCGTATCTGTGGATAATCAGTACTCTCTTTTCCCATTCTAATATTTTAGCTATTAAAATAGATAAGAAACTAAACAGCAACAATAATAACTGTATACACAACACACACTTTATAGCTGTTATGGATTTTAGCGGCAGAGTATATGCTTTAAATTGTAGTGTATAAATGATGATTTAATTGGGACTTGGGAAGCCAACAAAATACTCATTGTCTGAGGGTACTTACAGCGTGTTGTATATAACCACTGTAATTTTCCATCCTGTTTTCAGACTGAAGGTAAAAGACCCTTTTGCTACTGGGGTAATTTATTTGGTCAAGTGGTGGGGAGAAACCCTTTTCTCCAGTTTAGAGGAGGTTGTTTTGCAACCTGAATTTGAAATCCCATACTGGGAAAGCATCATCTGGACAGAAACCCAAAACATCCAGGAATTAGAAGACCAAGTCCTCTGATATCTCCCACACATGCACTTCTGACTGAGAGGCAGCAGGGGCTGCCCAAATTAGAGGCTCCATTCAACATTTGCTTTGGGGGTTTTGGGCTCCTTAAAGCTCTTCTGCATTTTGAGCCTGGCTCATTCAGCTTGTGCACAGGGATTCGGACCATGACCACCTTTTATCCCCCAAAGATCTTCCGATATCAACACAGAATTAAACTGAAGCAGTGACCACCACCCTGCAGCAGATGTTGCTCCACTGCAGCTGGTAGTGCAGGAGGCCACACACAGCACTGGAGCATCAGTCCCATCCCACCTCACCCTCAGCCCTCTTTACTCGTGGGGACTTACAGACACAGGATGATGGGTTACACCTCGCCTGCATGGTCCAGCTCAAACACACACTCAATAGCACAGCTCAGCTACTTGGCATCAGAGCACTGGTGTTCAGAGCTGTAGTCTCTCCTCTTGCTCCTGCAATTGCACACTCAGTATTAGTTACCTGCTTTTAAGCACACAGATGTGTGGTTACCCTAGTTAAACAGACATCCATGCAGCTCGATGCATTTTTTAGGGATGTGTTTTGTTGCCTAGCACTGCAGTTCACTGACAAGTTTCAGCTCAACTCCAGAGCAAATGAGCCGTCAGATAAGCCAGACCTGGTCAGAGCTGCAGTACTGGGCCACCAAAGCTATCTTGCAACAGGAGATGAAAAGTGCAAAGCTCCTGGTGCTGCTGGGATGTCCTCTGTCCTCGTGCTGTCACCCTCCAGGGTAACTATATATAAAGTGCGTATTAAAAAACTCATGAGGAAGAGGAGCCACAGCCTAAGAGCATCTGAAAAGGTCTTTGGAGATGCTCCTCTGGGGGTTCAGAAACTTGCTCCCAGCCCACGTTTCTGGGCAAGCTCCAGCCTTCCCTACTGCAAACCAAGAGCTGCACTACCAGGGAAAGTAAGGCTGAACTGGCTGTGTGTTGTGGAGAGCTCAGAGTATTTTAGTTGCTGTTTGCAAAGCCATTTAACTGGGATAGGTTCTGCTCCGTGGTGGTGGCCAAATGTGTGCCAAGTCAGATTCAGACTGGTCTGTTCTCATGTCACAGGCATATTTTCCAGGTATTGAGCAGTGCTTTCCAAAGATGTACTAACTTGAAGAACCATTTAAATATTAATTTTCCAGTTCAACTTGCATGCTGGGAAGGCTCTTCCAAGTACTCCAGGGTATAATTAGTTTCACAAAAAGCATCTTCCCACGAGGCACTTTGCTAGCGCTGACCACATTTCCCTTCCACATTTCCCCTCCTGTCCAGCCTCTTAAAGCTTCACTGAATTGCTGCACACAGCCTCCCGCAAAGGGTTATCATCTTATGTTTAATAGGGGGGAAAAAGGCAACGCAAGAGATTTACTGCAAATGGAAGCCATTACTGAAACAGTTATCAAATGAAAGAACAATATAATAATGTCTAGTCATAAAGATATGAGGAGTTGCCTGTCAGAAGCAAACACCCAAGTTGTAAAATTAGCCTGGGCAGCTGCTGCAAGCTTTTGGCAGGCAGGACAAGACCCTTGAAACACATTAAAAACACCCACGTTTTGCAGCTATACAGGCTGCAAATCAAGCACCCAAACTGGGACTAGTCAGAGGGAGATGCATCAGCATCCCAAAGCCATGGAAGGTTCATGTGAAGCAGAGATGGGGGGGGGGGGTCAGTTCAGCACTATCCCAAACATCCCCAGAGTTTTAGTCAGGCTTTGGATGCATCCCAAAGCTAAACCCATTATCTCCAGCACAGTTGTCGCTCACTGAGGCTGCCAACCCCAACTTTTAGGTTAAATATTAACTAAATAATAGTATACAGTGTTGAATTTTGTCTGCTCCTTGACTTACAAGGTCATGTCACACAGGCTATGAAACTACTGCTAGAAGACTGTGATTCCCAGTCCAGTGGCACAGACAGTTTTCCTCATCTCTCCTATTTCTGCCCTTCTGCCAAGAGTTGGGGCAGAAAACCCTTTCAAGCTTAACCAAATGACTATTAACCTTTCCAAGAAATAAACACATAGCCAAGTGGATACCAGTGTCTATCACAAGGGAGGAAAATATTATATTAGCAGAGGGATCTTTGACTTCTACCTGAGAGCCAACATCTCCTATCGAGGACTGCCTAGCCTCTCACACCACAAACACCATACCCCAGTAACAGCACGTCAGCACTTTCCCCCCAAAAATCACTTACTTTCAGCAGCACAGGCAGTTCTCACACCTTCTTTCCCACTAGACACATGCATTCCATGTGTCAAGGAAACCCTAGGACCCAGCTCCAAGTTTCCATTTCAAGAATCTGTGCTCCTCCTGCAGCCTTTTATAGCTGGAGCTTATCATCATTAGGCCCCAGGTGCAATAGTCCTAGGTGTCTTTTAACCTTCCTCGCCAGTCTCAGAAGGGCTAGTGATACCAGTGCAGCTACTGGTGCTGTTTCTATTTTGTGTATGCAGTGCCACTTGTTTTGGTGCTTGGATGTGAAAATGTTTGCCACTGTAAAACAGTTTCAGAAATGGAAAAACATTTGATTGGGAGCCTTCCTAATGTTGGATGATAACTGAGCCTAGCTTGAATGCAGATAAAATCCCATCACAGCCTTACCAGCAATACCTGCTTTTAAACAGTCTGCTGACTTTAGCCATAGCTGTAGAGCTTGAGAAGGAGCTGAAGCCCCTGGGGTGTCCGCAGGAATATCTGCTTTTCTGAAACACACCAGAATAAGGCATTTGATGTAAGCCAAGGATCCAACCCCCCCCCCCCCAAAGCTGCTGTTTGAAATTGTCTTTTGGAGGCAGAGCACAAGGGTTATTTCAGAGGGAGCCATGATATCCCCAGAGACAGAAAGGCATGGAGGAAGGTTTCTCTTAACGTGAAATTTTGGCTCAACCGTCCAAATTACAGAAAGACAGCATCGCCTGACAGCTGCAGGTGAGAACCTTCTGCTTTCATCAGTAAAGAATATAAATAAGAGCCACATTTTTATTGTAGACAAAATCAAGGAACCACAGTCCATGGTCATGTTTTTCTTCCTAACAGGATTGTCCATTGAAGAAGGGAAAGATGGAAAACTAAGGGTTTCTCTTTAAAGGCAGGTTGCAGCTTGTGGCTATGTCAGACCAGTGAGTTTCCTCCTGATTTGGGGAACACAAAGAATCATAAAACCTTTTCCACTGTGGAGGTGTGACTCTGATTTTTGCCTGTGCACCACCATGTGTTGGCACCGTGCTGGACATGTGCAACGCAGCTGCGGGCAGAACGCTTCCCAGTACATGGGTGCCCACATCCCAGTAAGCTGGTGGTGTGCCTATGTGCTGGGGAGGCCAACAGATGACTCCAACAAGTCTGCTCCACTGCTCAACTAGTCAAGCCTCCCACAATCTGTGGGTGTTAAAACCTACCTGAAAGTCCTCAGAGGCTTCTGTTAACTGGGACGGTCTCTGATAGCAGCTGCTTGTGAGAAGTGATGAAAGAGGTGCAGAAGTTCCACTGTTTTCTGACTGGTCTATCACCCCTGAGCAGGGGGAAGTGCTAACAGCAGATGAGTTTGCATGGGATTAACCTGCTTCTCAGCTCTGATGGTGAAAGAAGATGGTGCTTTAGTAGAAAAATTAGAAAGGAAAATGGTTATTCAATTTTACTACAAAACCCGAAGGCACGATGAGGAGTAGGATGTAAAAATGTTAGAGAAAATTAAACTGGCAATAGGGAAGGGCAGAGTGTTAATAACAGCAGCCTTAATCATCCTAACTTACAATAGGTGCACCCTGTAATAATTTTCATGTATCATCCAAGTGATCACAACAGGTTTGACCTACTGCTTCTTAACTAAACTGCTGTAATTATTAACATGCATGTATTATCAGGAGCTGACAGGAGCAACATCTCAAGTCTGTTATTGTGGAGCAAAACATGTGGGGACAAATCTCACCCTTGGTAATTTTTTGTGCATGGGTGATGGACCAGGTAGAGGGTGTACAAGAAGATGATGCACACAGCATCTATACACACTGGGAGTGCACAGGCAGGGGGCATATATGAATCTTCACATCCTTTAGAGTGACTGAAGAGATCAAACACACATTGTTTCTGTTCCAGACAGATTACTTTTCTGATTACTTTTCCGCATCCATCCCTCTGCATGGTTTTTGATGACAGTGTATGAACAGGGTGGATAATCCAACCTCAGCTCCATGGGGAGAGCTGGTCACAGTGGTATTCACCAGCTTTGCCTCCTGCTGACTATGTATTTTTTAATCCTGTCCTTTCAGTGCCTGGAGGAAGAGGACTGACTCCCTCTGCTCCTTGCTTCTGCACAGCAGAGAGCATGGATTAGCCCTGAGTGAGGCATCTTGAGAGCTGCAACCATCTGGTTGTCATTAGTTTGATTTGATGGAAACGGACAAATGTAACAATTAGTATAGCAAAACCTCCTAATTTAAGAAAAAAATAAATAGAAAAAAGATGATGGTGATTGAGGCTGGATGGGTTTTTAATTTTGTGCATGAATGAAAGAACACGTTAATTAAAATCCACAGTTTATCGGTTAGGCTTGTTTTGTAGCAAGCTGCTCCAAGGTCCCTGAACCTGCCTGACAGCTCATGTCTTCGTCACACAGCTCTTGAAATCCTCCACACTGGATTTCCCCCTACATTCCTCTCCTTCATCCCTCCACTCATCTCTGCTCCTGTATCTCCTTCCTGACAGCCCACAGCCCCTCACTGGAGGGTGGGTTGTTGCCTGCAATGGGAGCAGTGTGGGGACAGTAAGGTACAGGGAAAACCCTGGTGGGGGTATTTCAGGAATGTTATACTGAAGTGCCAGTGTTTCAGCTACAAGTGTTGTGAAAGCAAGAGGCAGTCAGCCTTTGACATTAACCATCACTGGAGATGTCTGTGTTAGCAATTTAACAAGCTCAATAGGTAGTCTAGAAGAAGCTTCAAATGGCAACTAAATATACTACATGATAATGACTACAATTCCTGAAATGCAGAAAAAATGCCAGCAACAAATTTATTCCCTGATGGCAGAGGATGCTTTGACCCAGTCTGGGAAACCACAGGATGGCAAAAGCTTTGGATGTGATGGTCCCATCACTGCATGGCAGATGATAGTGCCACCAGCTTGCTGGGTCTCAGGGTGACCACCACTAGAGCAAGGCAGGCATAGCATCACTGCTGTAATAGTTCTTCCTCTGAAATATTTTTGTTCTGAATAAGTACTTGGCTTTAGGAAAGCTGGCTGACCAGCAGGTAGCCTGGTAAGCTGGAAAAGGGCACATCAATCCTAGCCAAACCCTGTGTGTTTCCAGGAGTCACGACTGGAAAGAACAGTCTTGTTTTGTGAGTAAGTAATCGCTTGTAGGAAAGCTGTTTTCAGCATGGTCACATTAGAGAACTCACAGAGTCTGAAAATCCAGCACTCGTAAGAATACCACTGTGACAAGTTCAATACAATTATGGGAGGAAATGGTGGTTTTGGTGTGTGTTGGCCTCACATTTATGTTTGCCCTGGTTCTGCTTGGCAAAATGCATATTCAGAGCTGATATGGTGCATGTTTGGGCATAAGTCACCCAAAAGCCTAACTGGAGGTATGCCCAAATGCTGCATTTTAACCTTTTCCCCCTCCTCCAGATTAGCTTTAGGAATTAAATACTTCAGCTTTTCCTTCTGAAACTACATTTTTTTTTTATCCATTTTATAATAAGACCTACAAAAATAGTTTTAAAAGGCCTCATGCAAAGAGGATTAAAGAACCTGAAAATGAAACCACTTTATGTTTTTTCTCCTCTATTCTCCTTTGGTTCAGCCAGTGAACCAAATAAACCCCCCCATTATTCATACAGCTGAAACGAGTTGTATCAGCGTTCAAGAATTAAATGCAATTAAATATGTGTACGCAGCCTAACAGCAAGGTGATTTCTCTGTGAGCTGTCTGGTTGTGTATTAAGAGCTGCTGTTGGTGGGCTTGTTGCTGAGTTACGTTATTTCCCCTGAGATCAAAACAAATCAACATTTCCCTGCTCAGTGTTTCTGAAGATGATTTTTCAGTAACAGCTGAACAGCAGGATCTGGAAGCGAACTGGTTTATAGACAGAATATTAAAGTGGAGGAAAAGATCAAAGACTACATGAACTCAAGGAGAGGAGATGGGAGAAATCACTATTTTTTTACCTAATTTGGGCTTTAATAATGCAGTATGTGATTTCTCACAGGTCAGAAATCTCATGCAACTGCATCGGTGCCCTTGCAAATCACCAACCCTGATGTGATTTGATAAAACCAGACCATAATGGTGATGGGACAAAAGAAGTGCTGGTGTTTCAGGAATAAGAGGACCCACCTCTAAGCATGCCACATTTCCTGTTCTGTAGGAAAAAAAACCACAAGAAAAATACAACTGCAGGCTCTCAGGGTGGGATACCATGCAGTGAGTACAGCACTCCCATCTAGGAAACAACTAGGACATTATATTGCTGGTTTTGTTTTAACTACGCACGCTTCCATGCGAGGTCAACATCTTAAGATTACTTTTTCTGTGCACTGTTCTGGGAGCTCTTTTGCTGTTTCTTTCCTCTGTCAATCTGCAGCTTTTCTCTCCTGACAGCTGCCGGCTTTGCTAAATGAAGGACAGATATTTCAGTGAAAGATGCTTTTCTTTATTGGGGGCAAAAAGCAGGTGGGGGATGTAATTGTCTTCATCACCTGCAGGCAGATACATTGCAATTTTTATTTGTTTTTTTCAAGGAGATGATGAAAAGTCTGTTTTGCTCATCGGGGTTTAGTGGAAGAAATTGAGCTGGTTTGTGGCAGAGGCATGAGAAACTGCATGAATAAAAACCCCCACAGTGTTCAACTGGACCGATACCCAGAGGAGATATCCCTCCTTGCTCAGGATGGTCTCCCATCACTTACACTACCCAATCCCCATAAGGGATGTGCCCCCAGGTTTGTACAGGGCTGCAGGAGGCAATGGAGCAGGTTCTTCACTGGTACAGACAGTGAGGTCCCTCTCAGTTTTTAGGGTGATCACTGCTCACACTGTACAAATAACAGCCCTATTTAACTGCATTAGGAGCAGAACAGGTCTTAGGGTCAGTAAAAGCCTGGGGATGCTGTGCTGACAACACAAGCCTGATACATGATTTAATAAAAAGTGGTCATATGCATGAATTTTGCCATCTTTAATGCTCCTACTTGCAAATCTCTGTGTCAGAATTGATGTGAGACGCAAACATCCTTTAATTTGATCTAATAAGCAATAAAATCCAGCTGGCTCAGCTGGCACCAGCACCCTCCAGCCAGAGCAGCTGTACTGCTTTACACCTATGGAGATTTTGGCCAAAGCTTTGCTATAGCTGAGCTCCAGTCAGTAAATCTAACATTGATTTTCAATCCTCCAAGTAACACAAAAAGGATTATTTTTTTCCTTGCAGGCAAGCAGAAGATCATTACCACCAGCACATCTTTTCTTAGCATCAAACTGGGCTAATCGACCTGTGTGGTAAAGAACATGCTTCCACAGAAATGAGTATTTGTTCTGCTTTGCTTTGTTTTTAATAAAAATAAAATAACAATTTATATAGCTCTTTAATAAATTATTACTTGCATTTAGACCATCATAGTAGGAGAGAGACAAACCAAAAGAACACCCAATGAAGGGCAGCAAATGTCCTAAATAGGTATAAAAACACCCATGGCAGTTCAGGATTTCTCCTCCCAAGTCAGGGGGCTACTGTTTTTGATCCCCCCAGCATCACCACTCTGTATCCTTTGCATCTCTGTTGCCGAGTCATTTCTGCATGAGCACGGCAAAGATTTTGAGACAACACTTCTTAGTCTACAAAGGGGTAAATCTCGTTTTATATATGTATAAGGAGGAAGTTCTTTACTGTGAGGGTGGTGAGGCACTGGAACAGGCTACTGAAGGAAGTTGTGAATGCTCCATCTCTGACAGGCTCAAGACCAGGCCTTCAGCAACCTGGTCTAGTGGAAGGTGTCCCTGCCCATGGTAGGGGGTTGGAACTAGATGATCTTAATGTCCTTTCTATAGAATTACAATCAGTTCTGTGATTCTATGAAAAACTGACCGGGGGGAAGCATGGATTTGAAAGAACATACCAAAAATTGTTAGAGAAAGAGAAAAGGAAAAGGGATGGGATGCCAGTCAAAGCGCTTTCAGGCATTACATACTCATAGCTGTAGTTGTGTTTAAAAACAGTGGGCCACTAGCAGCCTGCAACAAGCAGCAGATGGCTATGCTGTAGGAACCATCCGTTCCCTTTGAAAGCAGTGGTGCCTGTTTGTAAGAATAAAATTACCCATTTGGTATAGGTGAGTGTGCTGACAAAAGGAGTGAAATTAGAAGAGAGAAAAAAAAACACATTCAATGGAAATCATAGAATCATAGAATAGTTAGGGTTGGAAATGTATCCTCATATGTAGAAATGCCATTGATTTGCATCTATCTTGGACCTAGCATGGGACTTGATAGGAAAAGGTCCATCACTGGTGTTTTCCTTGCATGAAAGAGGCTTCATTTCAAGCTACTTTGCCCCTATATGTGCATCCCACCTGGGAACACATGGAAAATGAGTTACCTGCCATTCCTTGTTTCTGTACCTTAAATATTCTAAGGCTTAAAAATGACCAAGATCCAGTACAATGGCAGGAAATACCAGATAAGGGCATCATCATCTCCAGACTTGTGCTTTTTCTGATATTATAAACCATTGTGTTTAGTTAAAGACTCTCCTCAAGCTCGCAGTGTGAGCCTATTTATAGATGGTTGGGGAAGGAGAAGCTCCTGTAGCAATCTTGTGCATCTCTTTCACTTCCCTCAAGATCTCCCCACAAGTGTTCATCCTACTGCATGTTGAAGCAGTCTATTTTTGATCTTTTCTGATAGTGGGGTCTTATTAATTTAATGAAAAGAGTGCAATAAATAATAGCAATGAATGCCATCAGCTAGCATCTGCTGTGCAGGAGCCATGCCTGCAGTCACCAGCTCCAGGTTGAAACATCTCAGCTTCTCATCAGCTTTTGCAATATGAGGAGAAAAGTCTTGTCTCATTGCAAGCAGGACTGGAGTGAGGCAGCACATACCTGTCTAAAGGAACACTTAAAACAGGGCATCAGCACTCATCTTGCAGAAGAACCACCCAGATCTCCAGTGCCTGAGGCAAAAGGCAGTGTGGTGCACCTTGGGGCGTCCTCAGGGTTCCCCATCCCAGCTCCTTGCCATGGGTTTTCCTTCCCAGGCTGGGCTGTGGCTGCTCAGCTGTTGTTTTGTAAGCGGAAAACCAAGGTGGAAGATGACAAAAGATGGTAGAAGTGTAGCTGAAGGAAGTACTAAAGCCTTGCCAACATAAGCCCAGGGTGACATCTCCGGCCAGCAGTGACTTCCTTCCCGGGTTGTGTGGTCTGCTGGTCTGGTATGAATTCAAATAGGAAAAGTCTATGACATAGTGAGTAAAAGTGACTACCTGCTTCCTCGTGACAAATTCGGCTTAGAGGTCTCCCACCAGATTGCTAATCAGGTCCTTCACTTTAATTAGCCATATCTGAAAGGAGCAAAGCCCTACTGTGCACAGCTGCCAGCTCAGCAGGAGACACGAATCTCCAGGGAAAACATTCACATCATCAGGATAAACCTGAAATTGAATCTTATTCATATAATCAAAACATCTCTGATGATTCACTTCCCATCATTCCTGTACAGCATTCAGGATATAAATAGCTGTTTTAGGTATAAAAGACATGCAAACCATCCTCCTGGTAGTCTTCAGTGTGACAGAACAAGTCCAGCAGGTTTAATGGCTGCTGTTCCAGAGTATAAAGGGAATATCAATCATAGTTCATTTATCATCAGGTACCTGAGGTGGACACATGCTCTGTATAGCAGGACTGATGGACTTGTCAGGATGCATGGGGATCAGTTACCAAGAAGGACCCTTTCATTCAGAAACAAGACACTTAGGGTGAAGACAGAGAATAACTGTGTAATGACATATGAAGTACTTCTTAAATGGTCACCCAGGGACAAGTAGTAACAGAAATGGAGCTGGAGCTTTCCTTTGCCAAATACTAATTAGAAGGAATGAAGAAAAAGAAATGTGCAGGGAAAAGCCTTTCTAAAATGGTGATGTACCTTGCATAATCTTTATAAATGTGCTGGCTAAAAAAACCTGATTTCCTCTAAGTGTGTGATAATGGAAAAGTACCAGAGGTTTCAAATGAAGGGTAGGTGAGTTCTAGTTCCTGCAAAGATTAACTCAGTTACAGCTGGGAGCATTTCATGAAGCATCTCCCATTAAAGAGGGCAGATGCTAGACTCAGCAGAAGTTTTGTCACCCTCACTGCTTCAGACATGAGCCCAGGCATGCGGTGCAAAGCCTTAGACAACCCATGATACATCTGCAGCAATAGCATAGTCCTGGTGGCCAAGGCCTTTGCTAAAGAACTTGCTGGGATGGAAGTTCTGAGAATGGTAAAAGGTGCCACCATGATCCTGCTGCTTCCCAGGAGATAGCTGTGTGTCTAAGACCACTGGGAAAAACAAAGCTTCATGGAGGATCAAGGCATATGTCAATAACTACTGACTCGTAATAGCCATGGGAGACAGATATCCATTGTATTGCCTAGCCCCAAGTATGCAAAACACAACTGCAATGCTAATCATGCTTTTAAGTAAAGGACATCATACTGCACAACACTGTGGTCACTGAAGTGCTGGTATTAGATGTCTCACCATTATTTTCATGTATTGCTCACCCTCCATGAGTTTTGGCAGCCTGAACCTTTGGGAGAAAAGAAGTCCTAGGTGTAACATGGATGCTCTGCAGGGCTTATCAGAACTGTCCTGGGTTCAGCAGTAGCAGTCATTTTTCTCCTTCTTAGTAGCTGGTGCAGTGCAGTGTTTTGACTTTCGGCCTGGGAACAGAGCTGATAACAATGATGTTTTAGTCTGACCAAGGACTTTGTGAGCCTCATGCTCTGCCAGGGAAGAGGGAAGCCAGGAGGAAGCAGAGACAGGACACCTGACCCAAACTGACCAAAGAGGTATTCCATACCACAGCACGTCATGCCCAGGAGGTAACTGGGAGTTAGCCGGAAGGGAGGACAGTGGGGTTGGAGGAGGTATCGGTCAGTGCTTGGTTGGGCTGGGGGGGCAAGTTATCAGTCAGCTGGTGCTGAGGTGTTGTATTCTCTTCCCATGCTATTTCCCTTATCATTATTATTATTGGTGGTAGCAGCAGTGATTTGTGTTATACCTTAGTTACTAAACTGTTCTTATCTCAACCCATGCATTCTTTTTGATTCTCCTTTCCGTCCCTCCAGGAGTAGGGGGAGGGCAAGAAGGGGTGGAATGAGTGAACAAGCTGTCTGAGTGGTTTTAAACCATGACAAGAACCCAGCTGCAGCAAGGAAATTTAGCCCACTCCCCAGGAGCTGGATTTACTGGGAACACTGGGTTGATACAGAGCACGTATGGTATCTACAGGAGAGTGCGCTGCTGACTAGATTCCAAAATGCTGTCACTGTGCTTTTTGCTTTTAATTACCAGTGTTTGAAGAAATAAACCCCACAATTCAGATAACAACAATGTTCAGGAAGACTTCAAATGCACGACCTCTGAGTTGGAACTGCCTTGCATCGAGAGAAAGTATGGAGCAACATGGGCTGTGCTGATGGTGGGGGCTACGCATGGTTTATCATAGCCTGTAACATGGACATCCCGTTGTCACCTTTCATCTGGGTTTCTCCTCACACTGCCAAGCTCTCTGCCAGGATGCTGGGAACAGCCATAAGCACCAAGCGAGCTCTTGCAATGTGCCTAATGAGTGTTCGCCAGCAGAAGATGAATGTGAAGGAGAAATCTGCAGAGATTAGCGAAGGGATGCGGACACCAGACAAGGCAACTTCAGTCGCTCTTTAAGGAATACATTTGTACCTAAGCTAACAACTCTGCTAGTTTCATACGTCATTAGGCTAATGATCTGTTTAAATAGAGTCATCAATCATTTTGTTATTAAACCCCTTTGTGCCTGGCAACAAATGGATGGGAAATGAAAGCATTGGTAGGTTGTTTGAGGATTATAAAATGGTACTTGTAAAGCTCCCACTGCTTCTGTGCAAGGTGGAAAAGCGCAGAGGAGCTAATTGATTGTGCCAAAACAAGCCTCCAAAAGTGCTGCAACTTAAATGGGAATAATCAATCCAGTTGCCTTTTATTTGTTCTGACATGCTTCAGCCTTCCAAGTGTACATTTGGGTCACATTTTCAGCTTTTTTCTCCCACAAGTCCCAAAACTTGTGTTTCTCTTTTATTTACTAAAAGGAAAGGATAAAAAGAAGAAGGAAAAATAGAAGGAAAGTTGAGTCTCATGAAACCTGTAGTTCCAGCATCTTATTACCGTAAGTAAGATGTGAACTGATACTAGAATCCTTATTTTGGAATTAAAATACTATACTCCTACTCAGAAGTTATTAAATATCTTAAAATCAATTTCAGAATTTGTTCTTGGATGTCTTTATTTTAGTAATTGGTTGCAGGGAGATACCATAATAGTTCTCTATTCT